TATATAATTATGTACTAACTCTGTGAAGGATGATGCTGTATACTGACCTGTTATATATAATTATGTACTATTACCTGTGAAGGAGGATGCTGTAAGCTGATTTGCTACCACATTACCATCGGTATGCTTGCATTACATGCTCTTATAACATCGAAATGCTTAGTTCGTGTTTGTTCAAATGAGACAAGGCTGATCGACCCATGGTAAAACCAATTTATATTCCAACAATTCCCATGCAATCGATCGAATGCTAGTCGGGAGGATTGGAGAGTACAACCTACCTGAGAGCAGCACTTCCACCCCTCTCAGTGTGTGGTAGACTGGAGTGCTCTCTATTGTTAATGGTATTTACATTATTGACTGAGAAAACAAGAATGTTAATGCTGTAATTAGATTAAGTCGACACCTCTGTATGTCTTCACTAGCAGTACGGGATGTTTGAGTGTAATGTTTACATTGATAAAATGAAAACATTTTCCTTAATCAAATCAATACGTTGCAGTTGATAATTCATAATTGTACAACTACATTAGCTGGTATACATAGGTGTAGTTCACTGAACACAGGTATAGTCTAGTCAACGACATACAGGTATAGTCTAGTCGACTACATACAGGTATAGTCTAGTCCACTACATACAGGCATAGTCTAGTCCACGTGCTACAGGTATAGTCTAGTTCACTACATATAGATATAGTGTAGTCCACTACATACAGGTATAGCCTCTAGTCAACTATATACAGGTATAGTGTAGTCCACGTGCTACAGGTATAGTCTAGTCCACTATATACAGGTATAGTTCACTGAACACAGGTATAGTCTAGTCCACGTGCTACAGGTATAGTCTAGTCCACGTGCTACAGGTATAGTCCAGTCCACGTGCTACAAGTATAGTCTAGTCCACGTGCTACAGGTATAGTGTAGTCCACGTGCTACAGGTATAGTGTAGGCCACGTGCTACAGGTATAGTGGAGTCCACGTGCTACAGGTATAGTGTAGTCCACGTGCTACAGGTATAGTCTAGTCCACTTCATACAGGTATAGTCTAGTCCACGTGCTACAGGTATAGTCTAGTCAACTACATACAGATATTGTCTAGTCCACTATATACAGCTATAGTCTAGTCCACGTGCTACAGGTATAGTCTAGTCCACTACATACAGGTATAGTCTAGTCCATGTGCTACAGTCTAGTTATAAATCTAGTCCCCAATATACAGGTAAATTATCTCGTCCACTATATACAGGTATAGCCTAGTCCACTATAACCATGTATAGTCTCTATTCCACTATATACAGGTATATTCTCTAGTCTACTATATACAGGTATATTATCTAGTCCACTATATACAGGTAAATTATCTCGTCCACTATATACAGGTATAGCCTAGTCCACTATAACCATGTATAGTCTAGTCCATTAAATACAGGTATATTCTCTAGTCCACTATATACAGGTATAGTCTCTAGTCCACTATATACAGAAGTAGTATCTAGTCCGCTGTATAGAGGTTTATTATCTTGTCCACTATTTACAGGTTTAGTTCTCAGTCCACTATATACAGATATAGTCTCTGGTCCACTATATTCAGGTATAGTATCTAGTCCAGTGCTTACAGGTGTAGTCTCTAGTTGACTGTGTACAGGTATATTATCTATTGTAGTGGATAGGGTTGTTATAATGACAGAGGGTGATACATGCTGGGTGATAGGTATTGTATTGGAGTGGATAGGGTTGTTATGATGACAGAGGGTGTTATATGGTGGGTGATATGTATGGTATTGGAGTGGATAGGGTTGTTATAATGACAGATGGTGATATATGGTCGGTGATGGGTATTGTATCGGAGTGGATAGGGTTGTTATAATGACAAATGGTGATATATGGTGGGTGATGGGTATTGTGTTGGAGTGGATAGGGTTGTTATAATGACAGATGGATATATATGGTGGGTGATATGTATTGTATTTGAGTGGATAGGGTTGTTATAATGACATGATGATATATGGTGGGTGATATGTATTTTATTGGAGTGGATAGGGTTGTTATAATGACAGATGGTTATATATGGTGGTTGATTGGTATTGTATAGGAGTAGATAGTGTTATTATAATGACAGATGGTGATATATGGTGGGTGATGGGTATTGTATTGGAGTAGATAGGATTGTTATAATGACAGATGGTGATATATGGTGTGTTATATGTAATGTATTGGAGTGGAAAGGTTTGTTATAATGACAGATGGTGATATATGGTGTTTTATATGTAATGTGTTGGAGTGGATAAAGTTGTTATAATGACAGATGATGATATAAAGTGGGTGATATGTATTGTATCGTAGTGGATAGGGTTGTTATAATGACAGAGGGTGATATAGGATGGGTGATATGTATTGTATTGGTGTGGATATGGTTGTTGTAATTACAGATGGTGATATATGGTGGGTGATATGTATTTTATTGGAGTGGATAGGGTTGTTATAATGACAGATGGTGATATATGGTGGGTGATAGATATTGTATTGGAGTGGATAGGTCTATCCTTTGTTTACCTGGTCTACCTGGTCTACTCTTTGTGTACCAGGTCTACCATTTGTTGCCTGGTCGATCTTCGTTACCTGGTCTACCTGGTCTACCTTTGTAACCTGGTCTACCTTTGTAACCTGGTCTACCTTTGTTACCTGGTTTACCTGGTCTTCCTTTGTTACCTGGTCTACCTTTGTAACCTGGTCTACCTGGTCTACCTTTGTTACCTGGTCTTCCTTTGTTTACCTGGTCTACCTGGTCTACCTTTGTGACCTGGTCTACCTTTGTTACCTGGTCTACCTCTGTTACCTGGTTTGTTACCTGGTCTGCCTTTGTTACCTGGTCTATCTTTGTTACCTGGTCTATCTTGTCTATCTTTGTTACCTGGTCTACCTGGTCTACCTTTGTGACCTGGTCTACCTTTGTTACCTGGTCTACCTGGTCTACCTTTGCTACCTGGTCTACCTTTGTTACCTGGTCTACCAGGTCTACCTGGTCTACCTTTGTTACCTGGTCTACTTGGTCTACCTGGTCTACATTTGTTACCTGGTCTACCTTTGTTACCTGGTCTACCAGGTCTACCTGGTCTACCTTTGTTACCTGGTCTACCAGGTCTACCTGGTCTACCTTTGTTACCTGGTCTTCCTTTGTTTACCTGGTCTACCTGGTCTACCTTTGTTACCGGGCTACCTGGTCTACCTCTGTTACCTTTGTTACCTGGTCTACCTGGTCTACCTGGAGTGGATAGGGTTGTTATAATGACAGATGGTGATATATGGTGGGTGATGGGTATTGTATTGGAGTAGATAGGATTGTTATAATGACAGATGGTGATATATGGTGGGTGATGGGTATTGTATTGGAGTAGATAGGATTGTTATAATGACAGATGGTGATATATGGTGGGTGATGGGTATTGTATTGGAGTAGATAGGATTGTTATAATGACAGATGGTGATATATGGTGGGTGATAGATATTGTATTGGAGTGGATAGGTCTATCCTTTGTTTACCTGGTCTACCTGGTCTACTCTTTGTGTACCAGGTCTACCATTTGTTGCCTGGTCGCTCTTCGTTACCTGGTCTACCTGGTCTACCTTTGTTACCTGGTCTACCTTTGTTACCTGGTCTACCTTTGTTACCTGGTTTGTTACCTGGTCTGCCTTTGTTACCTGGTCTATCTTTGTTACCTGGTCTATCTTGTCTATCTTTGTTACCTGGTCTACCTGGTCTACCTTTGTAACCTTGTCTTCCTGGTCTATCTTTGTTACCTGATCTACCTGGTCTACCCTTTGTTTACCAGGTCTACCAGGTCTATCTTTGTTACCTGGTCTACCTTTGTTACCTGGTTTACCTGGTCTACCTTTGTTACCTGGTCTACCTGGACTACCCTTTGTTACCTGGTCTACGATATCTACTCTTTGTTTCCTGGTCTACCTGGTCTACCTGGTCTACCTGGTCTACCTGGTCTACCTTTGTTACCTGGTCTACCTGGTCTACCTGGTCTACCTGGTCTACCTTTGTAACCTGGTCTACCTTTGTTACCTGGTCTACCTTTGTTACCTGGTCTATCTTTGTTACCTGGTCTACCTTGTCTATCGTTGTTACCTGGTCTACCTGGTCTACCTGGTCTACCTTTGTAACCTGGTCTTCCTGGTCTATCTTTGTTACCTGGTCTACCTGGTCTACCCTTTGTTTACCTGGTCTACCAGGTCTATCTTTGTTACCTGGTCTACCTGGTCTACCTTTGTTACCTGGTTTGTTACCTGGTCTACCTTTGTTACCTGGTCTACCTGGACTACCCTTTGTTACCTGGGTACCTTGTCTACTCTTTGTTACCTGGTCTATCTTTGTTACCTGGTCTACCTGGTCTATATTTGTCACCTGGTCTACCTGGTCTACCTTTGTTACCTGGTCTACCTTTGTAACCTGGTCTACCAGGTCTATCTTTGTTACCTGGTTTACCTGGTCTACCTTTGTTACCTGGTCTACCTGGGCCAGTATAACTATATGTTACAGTCTATGTATTAATATTCATCACCACCATCCTTAAATGTGCGTATCCCCGTAATATAATAATTAACACCAATATTTCTCTTGTTTAAATGAGCTAAAACTATCGATCTTCCCATGAGCCCACACTTCCCACTTCGTAAGACTTAGCCAGTCTGCCTATTGTTTACATAATGTTTTCACTATTGAGTTTTAGCAATACATGATCCGTGTAGCACTGTGTGGAACATTTAGATCAAGGCATTATACACAACCGCTCGGCAAATATATATCTTTAACGAGAATTTGCAAATAATGCCACACAATCTTTTCCCATGGAGTGTTTTTTAAAGTTTTGAAATATAATCAACCTTGAAAAAAATGTCAACCAATATAAACAGAATGAAATTGTATAAATATGGGTTAACTATTTAATCAAGGCATTCATAATTACTGTTCTTGTATAGGTCTCCATCGATCTTCTTTGATTCACTTTCAGAGTTCGTCAATCTATCAGGTCCATCATTCAATAAAGAACTAAATTAAATTAATTAATTAATTAAAAGGAAAAACAAAACACAAGATGTTTTTACCCCAAAGTCGAAACCACATTCAATGGTCCACATGATAGGGATGTAGTTGTGTCTGCAGACAAATCATCTAATAACGTCATCTCTATCTGTTAACACTATCACATTTCCTATTTAAGATTTAGGCTTACTTGATAACCAAGGAAAAGGTATCTTCACATTTTCCGATTTTTCAAAACACGAAATACTAACTGATCATGGTATATCTTGAGCAACCTGTCCTAATAACGTGTCTTCTGTCAGCAGATATGGTTTTCTACTCTATACACTGTAGTCTTAATACGGAAGGGAACGTGTCCTCCTACTTATTGTGAGAGTTTTCTTTTCCAAGAAATGCGAAAGGTGATATAAATGCATAGTTCGGACTATTTCGGAGCATAATTGATGAAAAACACGACAAATGCCAAAATGTTAACTGTTAATATAGGAACAAACAGAGCCCCTCATCTGGTAAACTTGTTTTGTCATATGTAATTAATTGAAGGTGCATATCAGAAGTGGTAGGAAAAAAACCTTACCAATTTCTTGAACTTCACATTCAGATATCTATATCTATATTGATACCGCCCTAAACTTGAGATCTTTACTTACAACATGACCAACATGGGCGGTTTACTACCAATGGGACTGTTTCGGTGTTCTCATAGTGAACTTTTCCTTCGGATGTCGCAGTTTATTCTGTACTTTTGTTACAGTTCCGGTATATTTTAAGGACAGACATCAGCCTAGCAATTGGTCAGTTTTTTTAATCAAATCAATCAAAAGGCAGACTATGTGCCTTCGAATTCGTCCCGACATATTCCAGGGGTGTAGGGAATGTAAGTGGGCGTAACCCCTGGAGTGCCGAGGATGGTGGATATGCATCCGAGTTCTGGTTTAACAGTTTCGGTGTGTTTACATTTATTCTGATATTCTGTTGATCCTAATTCTAGATAGTTACGTGTAACAGGTCAACTGGGTTTCAAGAAATCAATTTGTTGTTGAGGCTGACAATTTCCAGGTATTTATTAATTATACGTTATGGATTTTGAATGTCAGCTAGTATTTGACGTCATTTGTAAATGTCTAACAGGTTCTTCTCTGTAAATTGATTAAATCAAATAAATGGCTTATGTCAAATCGCAGCTGTCAGAACAAGGGCTATTAAAGCAAAGTTTCAGGGGAAACAAAAAGCTATTGAATCCCTTATTTGCTGAGGAATTTGTGAAACATTAAATCATAAATAAAACAATACACAAATTCATCAATTCATCTCCAACTACATATTTATATAGTATTAATCTTTCTACATATTATAGAATTATTAAAATACCTGGTGTACCTACATAGATGCAAGTGGCGGGAGAATAGCTATAATATGTCTGGTACAAGTCACTGAAGGAATAACTATGGCTGGGACAAGTCACTGAAGGGATAACTATGTCTGGAACAAGTCTCTGAAGGTGTAACTATATCTGGTACAAGTCACAAAAGGTATAACCATGTCCGGTACATGTCACAGAAGGTATAACTATGTCTGGTACATGTAACAGAAGGTATAACTATGTCTGGTACATGTCAACGTAGGGATAACTATGGCTGGGACAAGTCACTGAAGGAATAACTATGGCTGGGACAAGTCACTGAAGGGATAACTATGTCTGGTACGAGTCAATGCAGGTATAACTATGTCTGGGACATGTCACTGAAGGGATAACTATGTCTGGGACATGTCACTGAAGGGATAACTATGTCTGGTACAAGTCACTGAAGGTATAACTATGTCTGGAACAAGTCTCTGAAGGTGTAACTATGTCTGGTACAAGTCACAAAAGGTATAACCATGTCTGGTACATGTCACAGAAGGTATAACTATGTCTGGTACATGTCACAGAAGGTATAACTATGTCTGGTACATGTAACAGAAGGTATAACTATGTCTGGTACATGTCACTGAAGGTATAACTATGGCTGGTACAAGTCACTGAAGGGATAACCATGTCTGGTACATGTCACAGAAGGTATAGCTATGTCTGGTACATGTCACAGAAGGTATAACTATGTCCGGTACATGTCACAGAAGGTATAACTATGTCTGGTACATGTAACAGAAGGTATAACTATGTCTGGTACATGTCACAGAAGGTATAACTATGTCTGGTACAAGTCACTGAAGGTATAACTATGTATGGTACAAGTCACTGAAAGTGTAACTATGTCTGGTACAAGTCACAGAAGGTATAACTATGTCTGGTACATGGCAATGTAGGGATAACTATGGATGGTACAAGTCACTGAAGGTATAACTATGTCTGGTACAAGTCACAGAAGGTATAACTATGTCTGGTACATGTCAATGTAGGGATAACTATGGATGGTACAAGTCACTGAAGGTATAACTATGTCTGGTACAAGTCACATAAGGTTTAACTATGTCTGGTACATGTCACTGAAGGTATAACTATGGCTGGTACAAGTCACTGAAGGTGTAACTATGGCTGGTACAAGTCACATAAGGTTTAACTATGTCTGGTACAAGTCACTGAAGGTATAACTATGTCAGGTACAAGTCACATAAGGTTTAACTATGTCTGGTACATGTCACTGAAGGTATAACTATGGCTGGGACAAGTCACAGAAGGTATAACTATGTCTGGTACATGTCACATAAGGTTTAACTATGGTTGGTACAAGTCACTGAAGGTATAACTATGTCTGGTACAAGTCACTGGGGGTATAACTATGTCTGGTACAAGTCACATAAGGCTTAACTATGTCTGCTACATGTCACTGAAGGTATAACTCTGGCTGGTACAAGTCACTGAAGGTATAACTATGGCTGGTACAAGTCACTGAAGGTATAACTATGTCAGGTACAAGTCACATAAGGTTTAACTATGTCTGCTACATGTCACTGAAGGTATAACTCTGGCTGGTACAAGTCACTGAAGGTATAACTATGTCAGGTACAAGTCACTGAGGGTATAACTTTGGCTGGTACAAGTCACTGATGGGATAACTATCTCTGGTACAAGTCAATGTAGGGATAACTTTGGTACAAGTCAAAGTAGGTATAACTATGTCTGGTACAAGTCACTGAAGGTATAACTATGTCTGGGACAAGTCAATGTAGGGATAACTTTGGTACAAGTCAATGTAGGGATAACTATGGTACAAATCAATGTAGGTATAACTATGTCTGGTACAAGTCACTGAGGGTATAAATTTGGCTGGTACAAGTCACTGATTGGATAACTATGTCTGGTACAAGTCAATGTAGGGATAACTTTGGTA